TGGATGTAAAAACTTTTAATTTAATAAAATTTTTGGGACGTCAATCATTTTATTAGGCGCCAATCGATTTTAATTAATTAGTTTTTTGCATGGGGTGTTAATTAAAGAATACCCAAATAAAGTTTATATAAACTCTAAAAATTTAAAACATCTAGCTTCATCATCTAATTAAAGAATTCTTTGTTAAAAATAGTTTTATCAGAATAGAATTTAAATTTTAATCATGTCGAAAAATTTCGTAAAATTAATGCAGACTATATGTATAGATTTGTAAATGATAACTCTACATCTAGTTCATTGATGATTATGAAAGGTGATATTTCAAACAATTTTATATCAGTTGATAGTGTAATAATTATTGAAATAGTTTAGATCAATCAGATTGTAAAATTAGGGATTAACAATTAAAAATTTAATGATAATAATTTGATAATAATTGACAATAATATAATGTTCATGCAAAAATCTATTGTGCTTAATTTAATTTTGAAGGTTCATGAATTACCTCCTTCTCACTCACATCTAGATAATATAACACCATAAAAAACTATTATTTAGTCTTAACTTTAAAACATGAATTAAGGATTTTGTAAAAGGATGTATTAAAAGTGAATCTTCTAAAGAATATGTATATAAGAATGAGTCTATCTTAATATGTTTATATAACCTTTTAGAATTTAAAGAGAATGAAGGCAAAGTGTATAACTAAACAATAATTGATATGCATACAAGGATAGTAAATTTATACATATTGAAAAATATTAGTTCAGAAAATTTAGCTAATGCTATCTAAAGCTGGTTTTCAAATATGGATAAGTAAAAGTTCTTCTCTTTAATTAAGGAAAACAGTTTGTTGGTTAGTCTCTTTTTTTACATTGTGGTAGATATAAAGTTATAAAGCGTTTATTTTTATATACTATTTTCACAGTAACTCAATAGCAACAAGAATCAATAAAACAATTAAGGATTGTTTGTTAACTTGAAAAAATGTTTCTTATAACACTCTTACTAAGATTGAAAACGTGCTTAATATTTTATATCACTCTTCAATTAATTGTTCTCCTTGTAAATTACTTTACAATTACAGTAAGTTTGATGTTTTAAGTTTAAGAATACCAAACGAAACAATTATTCTATAAAAACTCAACAACTAGCAATACTTAAAAAAAGAGGTATAATATTAGTGTTATTATTGATAATAATAACGAAAGCTGTTAATCTGAAACAAAAAGGGTTT